CAAAACACTGTTTATCACTGTGATAGAAAAGGGAACTTCGGTTTTCTTCCCCACTGTTTCACAGCTTCATTCAGGGGAAATCAAGAGATGAAAAAATATTCAGTCTAAAATTCTTTTAGTTTTAACATCTTCATCTCAACAGGTTCCAGGATGTCAATAAGATTATAACTCTGTAACCTGGAGACCCGGTTTCTTCTAAAAATGGAACTGATATGCAAATATATCGCTACTAATTTTTTTGTGGGTCAAAAGGACAGACACTCCCTTAGGAGGGGAATCTTAAATATTACCAAAAACTGTTTTCAAGGCAGTCTCTTTGCTATTTGAAATTATGTAATGAATAAAGCCCATTATTTTAATAAGATCTATTTTTTCTAGCTTTATTGAGATATAATTAATACAAAAAAATTGTATAAGTTTAATGTATACAATGTAATGATTTGATATAGATATATTTTGTGAAATGATTACCATAATAAGGTTAGTTAACACTTCCATCACCTCAGTTACCATTTTTTTAAGATGAGAATAATCAGATCTAATTTTTATATTTTTTCCTACAAAATACATAGGAGAAATATATGGAAAGACACATGAGATCACGACCAACAAAGTACATGATATTGTGATAAGCTAACTCTAAACCTTACAGAGTACAGGGCATCTGGGATGTCAAGTTTTAACATTTACAAAACTCCTATCCTAAAAAGCGCATTTCTTTTTTCTTGCCTTCTTTCTGTATTCTCATTACCACTGCGAGGTAAGGCCCAGGAGGCGGAAAACCATTCCCAGCTTTCCTAACAATAAAAACTTATCAAAGAAGGTAGGAGTGAATATGAGAATAACAGCTCAATGATATTTTGGGCATTGTAATTTTATATTCATCATTGTAGGTCCCTCCTCAACACCAACGCTGTGCCCTGCCCGCCTCTTATTTAATCAGTGGGTCCCTTGCCTCCCACAATTATTCATACAGCCCTGCTGAATAATTGCCTTCCCCCTGCCTGGCATAACAACAAAGCTCAGAGGCAGGAAGGAACACCACTTACAGGCAGGTCAGACAATGATGTAATTAACAGATCAAGGAGAAGTGTTATTTCAGAAAGCCCCATTGAGCAAGAGACAGGCTGAGCTCCTGGGTTATGACACTACCAAGAAACTACAGTGCCTAAAGAACGAATATCTAAACCAAAATGTTTTCTCCAAATGAATAAAAGCATGTGTAAATAATACCCTCTCCTGTGAAAGTTAAAAGTTGTATACAGACATTTTATAGACACGAATTTAAAACCAGTGTGGGAAAAGAACTCCTCCATCCCACACCAAGCAAGGTGCAGGGCGTGTATTTTTGTACATCTTTGCCAAATGAGTTTCTCAAGGAATCAAATACAGAAAAATGCAAAACGCAGAAAATAAGGTCAACCCACAAAGAATTGAATTCCATACGTTAGGTGCTATGGATGTAAAGGTGATTAAACATAGTCCCCACTTATAAAGCATAAACTGGTTGAGGAGGTTGTCAACAGACAGGTTCATATAATCATACACAGGACAATTTGTGGGTTTATAGCTTCAGCCACAAGTCCAACAAAAAAGAGAAATGAGATAGTCTTGTTCTATCTTCCCAAGAAAGACAAAGAACCAGTTGACTTAAGGTCTGAGACTCAAACTCATGACTGCAGAGGAATTAGAAACCACTGAGACATAGCTTTCAAAGCATGTTCTTTTTTTTTTTTTTGCGGTACGCGGGCCTCTCACCGTTGTGGCCCCTCCCGCTGCGGAGCACAGGCTCCGGACGCGCAGGCTCAGCGACCATGGCTCACGGGTCCAGCCGCTCCGCGGCACGCGGGATCCTCCCGGACCGGGGCACAAACCTATGTCCCCTGCATCGGCAGGCGGACTCCCAACCACTGCGCCACCAGGGAAGCCCCCCAAAGCATGTTCTTTAATAGATACCACAAGCCATGTGATCAGAAGTATCCCCAGCTATGAATAAGAGAAGTGTATTTCACTTATATTGTTGTGTTTTCAATTCAAGCAAGGGAGCCAATCACAGATGAGAAGTTTCTCATTTCATGTTGCGAAAGCATTGATCACTTTCACTCTCTTTAATGTACAGTTTTCCATTTTTTAATAACTACTAAGGTATAATGCATTGGGTTTAGGAGTATTCATCCACCAAGTAAATAGCAAATGCCAATGTTAATAAAAATAAAATGTTAGTGCAAGACCTCCCACATATGCCTAAAGGTGAAAAAACAAATTTAAAATTAAAATAATGAAATAAATTAACTTAGATGCTCTTATGCCTCTTTAAATTACTTAACACTCAGGTGACATCACGGAAACATTATCAAAAAAAAAAAAAGCCCAAAAAACAAAAACATAATTAAAAGGACAAACATCAAAGTATTTTTCATTCTCAGGTAAAACAACATGAATTAAAATTACTATTCTAGTCCAAAGTCACTTTCACTTCCAAGCTTATTCAAATTCTTTGAAGGCAGAGGCTACATCTTATACATCTTTATATACTCAGCCTCTAATCACTCAATACCACAGTAGGTAACTTCTCTAACGTACATGGAGGAGAAGAAATACTCAGGGCCTGATTCTCATCTGGATTTGTTTCCAGCAATTCAAAAGCTGAAAATATTGATAATTTGTTATAGCTAAGGCACTTCAATAAATTAAGGCAGGCATCCCTGAAAAAAAGTCTAAGTACTCAAGAGCAGTGGCTGCAGATACCAGCTCCCCAAAGCTCAGCTTGGCCCAATTCCCGTCTCCGAAACAATCAGTTGCACAAAGTAGGTTTAGTCCCCAAACTGTCTGGACTTTGTTCCTCCACCAACATCTGGGTTCAACATGATTCCTGACCTCTACCTCAAACTAGAGATTTCAAACACTAAGAACCTCACTCAACAGGAAAGTAATACCATAAGTCAAGGCCAGGGGAAACACAGAAGCCAGGACCAGCAGAAACAGTACAGAGAAATGACTCTGATGTCCTTAAAAATGTTCCTAAACGTCTAAAATATTGAAACAACTTTTCAAAAAGGAAAACTTAAATATAAATTTCTCAGATTAAAATATTTGTATCATTCAAGAGAAAGACAGTTTCCAGAAAGCTAAATGGTCTTACCATTTAAATAAAATGAGCTTTTCTCTTTCTGATAGCGCATACTTTCCCCTCTGCTGTAGGGTTTGGCTCTGAAAACCTGGATCATAATCTGGGAGACCCAAAAACTAATTATTAGGTTTAAAAAAAGACATGTCTTAAACTGACCTAGTTTGGAAGCCTGGATGCCTTTAAATTGCCAATGAACTGAAACCATTCATGAGAATGGGGCTTTTGAATGCTGAGAATGTTCTTTGGGGCTCAGCACAAAGATATTTGGCATAGATGACTGTAAATATTTGTAAAACTCTGGGTAAATGGACAGTGTTTGACCACACTCCGAACTCACATCCAGCACAGTACTGTAGAAGCAAGTTATCTAGGGTGATTGGTTTGGGGGCGGGGCGCGGAGGGGGTGGCTGTTGGTTGAGGGTTTTTTTTTCTGTTTGTTTTAAATAAAAAGCCAAGCAATTCAATTCTGCTACTGGACATCTTTTTACATTTTCTATACCTTGAGTTTGTTTACTCATCAAGACAGTTCGAATTTATTTTCTTTCCCACTTTCCTAACTTTATGCGCAGCACAAAGAATAAAATCCCAGTCACAGGTGTGCAAAAGGGAAGACAGGAGTTTTATGAAAATGTGGCCTTGGACTTCCTAATACAATTCTCTCCTCGTGGCCTTGTGGATCTGCTATAGATGTCTTTCTTTTTCTCGCTCTCTCTCCTCTTCAAGATAGCTTCAGAAATACTGAAGGGACTGTTACCCATGAAAAGGACTAGGGTCGAAAAGGGAGGACAGAGTAAGGAGGAGGGACCAGCAGAGGAATTAGATGTGAAAGGGACTGGGGACCAAGAGGCTCATCTCAGTGAAAGCTACAGCAGCCTGATACTTTAATTAGCCAGCAACTCAGTGAAGACTGGTTGGGTTCCTTTTGCCTCTTACCCACACCCTAAAAACTGAGTCATCTCAAACTTCATTTATTTTGCTTCTGGGACTAGATTCCCGCAATCGGCTGCTTCAGAAACGTTAGATACATTGTTCTTTAATTCATACCTGGCAACGTTCAAATAAACCTCCAGAAATGCCAATTCAGAAGAACACTGCTAGTCCTATTGTGAGCCCCAGCTAATGTTTTGAAAAGATATGTGCTGCAGACAGAAATAAGAAAGTGAGACTGTAGTGCAAGCGTGAAGACAGAGAACATTTTTCCAGAAAGGGGAAATCATTTCTGAGAAATCCAAATGTGAGAAGTATATGCTTCAGGAGCAGACTTACAGCAGAATCCCTGAAACTAGTAAGAAAAACAAAAGGTACCCTGGAAGGGGTAAGCTAAAGATACCTTTAGTCTGCTGATACAGGAATTGGTTTCATTTTAACTTAAACTTGAGAACAGCAATATAAGATCAGAGTTTCACCCTGTTTTATCAGCAGTTACACGACAAAATAAACAGCATAATATATGACCAAGATCCCACAGATAATAAAATATCTTATCCATATCTAGGTATGTCAACGTATTGCTGTGCATTTCCAAATAGCAGAAGGCAAACATCTGAGATTATGCCAAGTTTGGTCTCCGCTGAAGACACTGCGAGGTTTGATCTAATCTGGAATTTTGCAATACATTCTGAAGAGACTGTTTTATTAGAAATTAAACTCGTTTCTTTTTACCTTTACAAAGGTATCTATTTTTTAAAGTTAACAGGTGTTTCAGGCATTCAGAACGAATTCAGTTCTGTACCTTTTCAGCACTGGAGGCAGAAAATAAAGCTAAAAACCATGGTATCAGAGACAGTCTCCCGTCCTTTTTTCTTTTCTTAGTCCAACCCCACTGCTGTCTTGCAATGCCTGCAGCGTTTAAAAAGCTCGCTAAACCTACCTGGCAGGAGAGCTACGTTCCTCCCGGCCGCCGGGCTTCTCAGCAGACTCCCTCGCGCTCACCGCCAGCCGGGGCTGCTCGCACCCCGGGGAGGAGGAGTTGTTCCATTCTCTCCCTCTGCCGCTGACAGCGTCGCGCTCTGCAGGACTGCACCAGGGCTCGGGCTCCCAGACCTACTGGGCCGGAGGAGGAGTACCTGTAACCACCTCCCGCCTCGGGGCACAGCTGCGATGCCCGGGAACCTTGCAGAGCGTGGGGCGCCGCACGCCAGCAGCAGCCCCAGGAGCCGCGCGTTTATTTATACAGGAAGCTCAGGCGCGGCACTTCCTACTTCCCATCTGGGTCGCTCTTCAACTGCAGGTGATGGTCTTAACCCTGTCTGAACCCGGCTGCCAGTGCGCCCGAGCAGTCCCGCCCTCCTGCACTCGCTCCACTTAGCAGGACCTCTCTCTTGTCCTTCTTGGACGGCTGCTGCAGAAATGCCAAGCAGGGTAGCCAGCAGCAGCCCCTAGTGTCCTTCCGTCTGCCCAGACAGGGGCACTTCACCTCCTGGCTCTCAGAACTTGACGCTTCTCTGCACGCGTCCTCCCAGGACGCCTGTCTCCCTCCTTCCCAGCTCTTCAAGCCTCTCGTTTCTACTTATAACAACCCAGACCTGCCTTCCCACCTTGCCGGAAAACTGTTTCTGTAGAAACACTTCCCATGCACGTTTCATCCAAAACACATGTACTTGATTTGTCCTTTTGCATCTAATGATAAAATTAGATCGCAGGCAAATCAAATCAGGACAGTCTCAGTTTACCTCATATAATACAGGCACACTTTTATGGAACAATGATTTTGGTGGAAGTGCTTTGTCAACAAATTATGTGGGGAACTGCTCAGTAACCTAACAGGTTGTACTCCAGCTCAAGAAAATGTAACAAAGTAATTCAGAAGCTGTGGGGTACTAGGATGCGCCTTCCTCACTCCAAAACCTCAGACACTTGGTCTGTGTGATGTTTATAACACATTACATACCTACTCACTCCCTACATCCGCCAAAGGTCACAATCACAGTCCCAACTCCGTTGAACATTCCCATTTACAAACGTGGCTCTTCCGATCGGGAATCTTTCTGTGCTCATTCTGCACCCTCACTCTGCTTTTGCAACCACAGTCAGGAATGTGCTGCCTAAAAGGAAGGGACTCACAGCCCTTTGTGGAAGGAATCTGAGCATGCCAGTGAAGTATCAGCAGTAGGCACAGTGCCACAGGACACAAGCAAACTGCTTCTTGGCTCTCCACGTTGAAGAAAACCTCGAGGTCAAAGTCAAGTGCCGAAGCACACAGTGTATCTCTGTGTATGGTGGTAGGACAGGCAGGAGGACCAGTCCACTAGTGGGGGAGGAAGGGAAGGAGGCCGAGGGAGATAAGATGGTAAGAAAACATACAGTGGGGACCCAAAATAATAGAACTGAAGGATATTTGAGCTTGACAAGTCCTTCCAGCTAGTTTAGTCCAGACACCTAACTTTAAAGATGAGGAAACTTATGTCCAGGGAGATTTAAGTGGTCGGCTTGAACCAGACAGGGGCAGAGCTGGAACGACACCTAAAGCTGTGTTAGATGAAAAAGGTATTTGTTAATGAAAACCACCCCACAGATGTCTAACTTCAAATTTAACAGTAGCTTAGGTTCTGGGATAAACAATCTCAAGATATTTTCTTGGTGTAGTGACCATTGTGGATGGACAGGAATCAGGAAAGATAAACAAAGCATGTTCTAAGAGGTTACTTTATTCATTAGTGTCAATACAAAACTTTGGTGCCTTAAACCAAAGTTCAACAGAGTCCACGTTTTCAATTACCATGCAATGAAGTTATAATCTCTTGTCAACAGGATAAGGGAAGAAGCTATTGCTAATATGAATGAAAACATGGGTTAAGCAATAATCATGCTGCCTGTTGCTGCAAATGGCAGACGGGAAGAAAAATATATTGTATAATTAAATAATATCAGCACTGATTATTTTCAAGTTTATAAAATCTGCATGCAAATTTTTTTTTTTTTTTTTTTTGCGGTAAATGGGCCTCTCACTGTTGTGGCCTCTCCTGTTGCAGAGCACAGGCTCCAGACGCGCAGGCTCAGCGGCCATGGCTCACAGGCCCAGCCGCTCTGCGGCATGTGGGATCTTCCCAGACCGGGGCACAAACCCGTGTCCCCTGCATCGGCAGGCGGACTCTCAACCACTGCGCCACCAGGGAAGCCCTGCATGCAAATTTTCATAGAACTAAATAAACATATAGAACACTATAGTATTACGTGAACAACTCTTTCAGATCTGGAATAAAATACATAAGAAAAAATTTAACCAAGGAGGTGAAAGATCTGTATACTGAAACCATAAGACACCGATGAAAGAAATTCAGGACAGAAATAAGTAGGAAGACATTCCGTGCTCATGGACTGGAAGAATTAATATTGTAAAGATGTCCACCCTACCCAAAGCAATCTACAAATTCAATGCAATCCTATCAAAATTTCAATGGCATTTTTCACAGAAATAGGACAAACAATCCCAAAATTTGTGTGGAACCACAAAAGACCCCAGATAGCCAAAGCAATCTTGTGAGAACAAAGCTGGAGGAATCACACTTCCTGATTTCAAACTATATTACAAAGCTATGGTAATCAAAACTCTTTCAGATCTGCCTAACAAATCCACAGTGTGCATCATCCTCTCAAGCATGTATTGATCTCCTCCCAGACAAGCTGCTTGATGTTAGGAAGACAGACATAAGTTGGACACGGCCCCTGTCCTCAAAGAGCTCTCAGTCCAGGGAAGGAGTCAGACAAGCAAATCAATTATCAGGATACTATGGTGTGTATGTATGTGATACAACAGACTGAAACATGATGTGCTTTGGGAGCACAGAGAAGAATTTAACTAAAGGAAAGGGGCTGGTAAAAAGAATCAAGGAAGGCCTTCCCTGAGAAAGTGACTTAAAGCTGATACTTCAAGGAGCCAAGTGGGGAAGGTGGAAAAAGGTGAACCAGCCAGAGGCAAGAGCCACTGCAAATGCCTACAGATGTCAGACTTTAGGTGACACTTTTCATAATTCAGACAGAGCAGATGCATTCAGAAGTAAAGAATGAGGGCTTGAACTAACATAGTGGCAACTGGCATGAAAAGGAAATGAACAAATGGAGAGAGAGCGCAGAAACAGAATTAATGGGACCTGATACCTGATTGGATGTAGGGAATGAGGGAGAAAGAAGAGCCCAGGTTGCTGGTACCACTAATTGAGAGTGAGAATAAAGGAGGAGCAGCATAAGGAAAATGATTCCATTAAATCCTGCAGAATCTGAGGTGTCTCTGGGACATATAGAAGACTTGTCTAGTAGGCTGTCAACAGAGAGAGATCTGGAGTAGAGGGTCTTTTAGGAATTACCACCATTTAGGTGGTGACCACGGATGAGATTACCAAGAGCTGAGGTCACCCACAAAAGGTTGCAAGCTGTAGAGGGACAAAGGGGCTTTCGACCCATACACACTCTATCACCCACCAATTATTACGTAACCTTAAACAAGTTATTTAACATACCCAAAACTCAGTTTGCTCATGCATAAAATAGGAATGATGATATCCATCTCATAGGTTGTTGTGAGGCTCAATGAGAGGTTTGTGAAGTAGCTAGCACAGTGTCTGATGGCACTACATGAGTTGTGAAGGTAGGGCAGTGAATGTCACCTCCTAGAATTGTGTGGTACACAACCTGCTCAGCTGTACAGCATGGCCCTGGCCTGATACACAAAAGAAACTCAATCAGCATTGTTCACCTTAGAAGGAAGGGAAAAGGAGAGAAAAAAAGAAAAGAAAGGGATCAGAAAAGAGAGCCCAAAGGAACGCCAGTATTTATTTAAAATGTAGGTAGAAGAGGAGCCCTCATATAAGCCTAAGAAGGAACTGCTTCTCTCAGACTACAAAAGTAGATGTAACATTTGATATCTCAGACTGAGAAGTAAAATCCAGTCACCTCAATCTATAAAAATATTTTTTTATCTTTCTGAGCAATGATAGACATAATATAATAAATTGTTCACCAGAGATTGCAGTCATATTGACTTTCATCACAATAGAGAATTTCCTAATCTGAATCACAGACCTTCCTAAAGAAAAGGCAAACAAAATCTTGGCATTAATGGTAAGTAATCCAAACCACAGGAATTGTATTAACTTGTAACATACCTAAAGTCATGTAAAAGCAAGACCAAGATGAATCTAACACATACTTATATAGCCAAAATGCAAATATAGAAATATAATGACTAGATTACTAGATATGCATGTGTAAGATACTTATGTAATATATGCCATATTATATAAAATGTAACATGTAACAGATTATATATATATATAACATACATTGTAGTCCTACGTAAGAAGGAAATCAACAATGGATTTCTTTTTGGAGAATTACTCTCATTAATTAATATAAAGAAATATCAAGATTCATTCTGATGCCACTGAAATTACTCTTCTCGTCTACCTTAGTATATGTTAGTAACACACACCTTAGACTTGACATCTTAATTACATCCTGCGATAAAACATTAAAAAAATTTTTTTTAATGATTTGTTGAGTTTCAAGAAATCAGATGAAAGAACACAAGTACTGGGAAACCAGCTTCTGCAACAGGTGCAATTCTCTCTCCATGGGAGAAGATTTAAGGCAAAGGTCACGGTATTCTGCCAGTGACAATTTGGTCATTTCTCATTTAGAGCTACCATTTCATTCACATTTTTCTGTTGGATCTAATGGGGCTCATCTTATACATACATCCAACATTTATTGAGGGTATTGAGTATAGAACTAAGACACAATACAAAAATAAGACTAAAAACATCACAAAATAATATAAGAGAAATTATGCCAGAGATTCATTCAGGGTGGCATGACAATCAAACTACATGGAAAGTCAAAATATGACCCAGAAATGATCACCCAGCTACATCTGACTTGATAATAAGAGTTTTCAAAAAGCTGGAAACATATCATTTTGGTTTATTTCATGCATACAAGAGCATCTCACCATCTCACAGAGCAAGTCAAAACCAGCTGGGACCCAATAAGAAAAACCTGACCAGAATGGTCATCATCAAATGTCTACAAACAATAAATGCTGGAAGGGTGTGGAGAAAAAGGAATCTTTCTACACTGTTGGTGGGAATGTAAATTGGTACAACCACTATGCAGAACAGTATGGAGGTTCCTTAAAAAACTAAAAATAGAACTACCGTATGATCCAGCAATCCCACTCCTGGGCATATATCCAGAGAAAACCATAATTCAAAAAGACACATGCACCCCAATGTTCACTGCAGCACTATTTACAATAGCCAGGACATGGAAGCAACCTAAATGCCCATCGATAGATGAAT